AGTACTTTGTGTATTTTAAAATGTTCTCATGTTTGTGGTTTTATTATCGCTGTATTGTGTTGAATGTTTTTGTGTCCATGCTTTTGCACTATTAGTAAATTCTCAACAGGATTTGGTGTAATGGCAAAAAAAGTTGATGCATATCTGATATTCTACATACATACTTTTGGCCACATATGTATCTGTGGGTGCATATTTGTGTTTAAGTGTGTGTTGTTACCTCAGGGCTGGCGGGGCTGAGGACAGGGGGAGGAGGGGGAGTCGGGAAAGGGGGGCACAGCGGTCCTCCACACTGCAGCTTCCTCCATAAACAGAAATATTAAATCTGCACCGAGGTTCACTGACACTAATCATCATTAGACGTGTTCTCGTCTGAGCTGCTGCTGAGTGTCACAATGACAAGCGTCAGGGTGGGGGGGTCAACATCATGACCCTGATCTAGAGGAAGATACAGACTGTCTCATTTCTCTGGGACTACAGCTGTTTTTAATCCACATGTGAAACCGTCAAACATCTGTCCACGGCTGCTTTTTATTTAGTTTCAGTGTGGTTCAAATAAAACTTCGAGAATCAATATTTCTTTATTTAAGATTTAACAGCAGCTCACCTGAGCAGGTTTACCTGTGTTTCTGAGGACCTGAACGCACCACAGAGGTGTGAGTCAAACTCTAACAGAGGTGAGATCAGGACATGAAGGAACAGGAAGAGGAGCAGGAGCAGGAACAGCAGGAGCAGGAGCAGGAGGAGGAGCAGGACGAGCAGGAGGAGGAGGCAAAGACTCGACATGAAACTCCTGTTTACACATTTTCACTTCTCCGTCAGCTGATCTCATGTCACCGCTGAGGGTCAACACACGCTCAGTAAAACAAACTGCTGTCACTTCCACAGAAGAAGAAGAAGGAGGAGGAGGAGCAGGAGGAGGAGCAGGAGCAGCAGGAGCAGGAGTAGGAGCAGCAGGAGGAGGAGGAGGAGGAGCAGGAGCAGGAGGAGGAGCAGCAGGAGCAGGAGAGTGCAGACTGGAGTCTCTGAAGACTCAGTACAGACCTTTGTGTGTTTGAAGCAGCAGAGGAGGGGAGAGAGAGAGAGAGAGAGAGAGAGAGAGAGAGAGAGAGAGACTCGCAGTAACAGAGCGAGGCCTCGAAGGAGGAAGCATGCTGGGAAATCCCCTCCAGAGCAGGAAGGGCAGGGCCGTGCCAGGCACAGCGAGGGGGGTGGAGTGCAGTGGGGGGAGGGACTCTGGGAATGCTCGGTGTTTCCCAGGGAAGGTGAATCTGAACTGGAGTCAGATCTGCACAGTCACTCTGCAGAGGATGAACCCTGTGGTCGTCCTGTAGCGCCACCATCGGGACAAACCGCCGCGAGACGTCATCAGATGTTTACTGTGTCTCTGAGAACCAGGAGTGGACAGCTCCTCCTCTCAGACCAGCTCCAGGTCACTTCCTGTTTATCCACAGTCAGAGAAGATATTAAATATTCACCATCTGTGACCTTGACCTTTGACCACCAAACTCTAATCAGTTCATCCTTGAGTCCAGGTGAATGTTTGTGCCAAATGTGAGGAATCTCCCTCCAGGTGTTTCTGAGACATCGTGTCCACGAGAAAGAGATGGACGGACCAGAAAACAAAATGTCTCTGGCTGTCGCCAGCGCGGAGGCATTATAAACTGTTACTATGGCAACAAACACAACATCCCAAACAACAACAAGACAAACTTTAAACAAGACAAAGTTTAGTAAAGGGATTTTCTGTGACTGACTTTCGTGTTGAGACGCGTCTGGTTTGAAGTGAAGCTGCAGTAACTGGTTTTCTACCTGGAGGCTGAAGAAACATGTTTGTTCTCAAAGTGTTTTTATCATTATATCATTATTATCATTTCACCGTCCAGCAGTTCAAACCTTCACCTGAGGCTTCACCTGAGTCCAAGATTATTGATTAGCTCGTGGTTATTGGTTCATTTCCTGTTTATTATTGCACCCTGAGTAGAGTCTATGAAAAGGGAGCTACACGTTCAAACGTGTTTCTTCAGGTCGTACGAGCGGAAACACGAGACTCATCCAGTGAAAGTCCGTCACAAACAGACGGAGAATGTTTTCAGCGACTAGCTCGTTGCTCCTCCGTCGTTTCCTCAGGTGTGTGTTGTAGCTGCAGGTGAATGTTCATGGAGTACATATGAGAAAATAAAGCAAGCTTACTTCTGTTCTTAATTTCTTTTTTCTGTCTTTCAAAGTGACAAAATGTAACGATAAGAGAACCATTACAATCTTAACGATAACGATCCCTAGCCACCTACACACCTGTAAAGATACCTGACTGTATCTCACTCACACTCACACTCACACACACACACACACACATCCTCTGTGTGAACTGAGCTAAATAAAGTTGTTATTATTATAATAAAGTTTTTAAAGATCTTTATTCAGGATCCTGTGAACATGGACACATGAGCCGTCCAGTACAAACAGTCAGCCCTTGCTCATGGTTTCACTTTCCCCTCCCAGATTCATCCTGCTGATCCAGGAATCAAACCTGTGACAGTCTGAATTTCATCTTCCCACAGAAAACAGCAGCGTTTAAACACTGATCTGTCCGACCACCTGCTGAGGACACACTGTCCAGAACCAGAACCTCAGGAGACTCTGGAGTCCAGATTCACCTCACCAAGTCATTAGATGACGTGAGGAGCATGTTCACCGAGCTGACACGCACAGACTCAGATTTCATGAGCAGAAGTGAAAGTTGATTGTTTTTCTGTTGCTCAGTAGAGAGACGGAGAGAGAGAGAGGAAACCCTCAGCGGACCGAGGGACACGTCACTGTGGTGAGAGTGTGGACAGAGAGAGAGGAAAGTTTCCCCTGACTCATCACCGCTGCAGGAGAGGACGCAGCGACGCAGCCATGGAAAGAATAAGAGGAGGTAATTACCCAGGATGGAGTGAACCCGGACGGAGAGCTGAGTCCTCAGGATCAGGATCGGCTTCTTCCCCTTTCTGTGGAAAAACCAGAGACAGACAGAGTTAGAGCCGAGGGGAAAAACACAGAGCGTCTGGGAACTGCAGGCCTCAGGGGAGCGATCGACATTTATCTGTCCACAGAGACTCCAGAACCAGACTGGGTCCTGACCAGTACAACCAGTTAAGCTGGTCTGAGGACGAGGCCAGGTCCTCCTCATTAGAGTCACATGAATGTTAAACCACCGTGTCCCGGCTGCAGACAGGGAGACGCTGAAGCTGTTTCTACTGTCGGGCACTGTCTCATGTCCAACATGACACTGACACACAGAGCAGCTACACTTGTCTTTCCTTTATTCCCTCTCTGTGCAAACACCCAGCAAACCAACAGCTTCCAACTCCCAGTGCTGCACAGTCCCCCTCCCCAGCACCCCCACACTGCTTTTCTGCCTGGTGTGAAGGAGAGCAAAACGGATTAATAAATAAATAAACAAAAACATTTATTAATAACATCTTATCTATTTATTTCCTGTACATATGTATGTTTTTTTTGCTTTCCTCTCTGTTTCTCTCCCTCTCAACTAATCAAAATATAGATCAGTCATCTAAAATAAAAAGTGGCAGCTGTTCTCTGGAAGCACTAGGTTACGTTAGGTCTTGTTATGTCACTTTACGTTATATTAAGTCATGTCTTGTTAGAATATCACAGTGGTACCTGACATCACCAGAAAAAATGTCAGCTGATGTTATCTGACCGTGTTAGCTAGCGTTAACTAGCAAGCTAACCCTGGCTTCTGTGTTCTGTAGGCTAGCAGTCATCCTCAGGATGTTTCTGTGTACAGCCTCAGCCCTGAGCTTTCTGTCAGCTCTGCTGGTTCTCCTCCTGACACCTTTGACTGACAGCTCTTCTTCTACACGTTCACTCCTCATCCTCCGTCTGAGGTGAACGAGCTGATCCCAGAACAGATCAGTTTCCACATAAACCTACGTAAGCAGACTGTGGCCGAGTATGGAAAGAACGACAGTATGGAGGTATGGAAAGAATGAGAGAGAGAGAGGGCGAGAGAGAGAGGAAGGAAGGGAGAGAGGGAGAGAGAGGGAGAGGGAGAGAGAGAGAGGAAGGAAGGGAGAGAGGGAGAGAGAGGGAGAGAGAGGAAGGAAAGAGGGAAGAAAAACAAGGAAAGAAGAGAAGAGTTTGTGTTTGTCTAAGGTCTAAAATAAGGAACAATTACACACACATAAAATAAGGAACACACACACACACACACACACACACACACACACACACACACACTTTCCAGGTCCACTTTCAGATGACGTGTACACCCTGTTTTCAAACCCTGTACCTCTTTACAGCCAGAGACTCAGCTGGGAACACACACACACACACACACACACACACACACACACACACACACACACACACACACACACACACACACACACACACAATGACATAACAACATATAAAACATGTCATTATGGAGGTTGTTCAGAAAAAAACTGTGTTGAGAAGCAAAAAAGTGAACCTGGTTCATCTGCTGCAACGTGACGTCGCTAACATGGCTAACGTGGCTAACATGGCTAACATGGCTAACATTGTCAATGTGGCTAATGTGGTCAACATGGCTAATGAGACTAACATGCTGATGTGGTTAACAGGGGTAATGTGACTAACATGACTAATGTGACTAACATGGTTAACGTGACTAACTTGGTTAACATGGTTAACGTGACTAACTTGGTTAACATGGTTAATGTGGCTAACTCCCCACAGAGCTAACAGGGAGTCGTCTGTGAACTGTGTGTTTACATCAACAAGCTGCATGAACAGACTTCAGACAGATTGAGTCTGAAATCATCTGCTGCACAAAGCAGTTTAATCATTGACTATCTTAAGAAGTACTGTGGTGCAAGGAATTCTGGGTAAATTAAGACTTTTTTCAATGTAAAAAAAGGCCGACCCAGTCACTGCTCCAACCTCAACATGTTTGTCTTCAGGAAGAATTCAACAGTTACAGGAAGTTTTACTGAAGAGAACCAAGAGAAAGAAATATCTGACTTTCAACTTTCAAAATGAGTTAATGTGTCTGTTGTGTCTGTCGTGTGTCTGTCGTGTGTCTGTCGTGTGTCTGTTTTGTCTGTTGTGTGTCTGTCGTGTGTCTGTTGTGTGTCTGTTGCGTCAGTCGTGTGTCTGTTGTGTCAGTCGTGTGTCTGTCATGTGTCTGTTGTGTCAGTCATGTGTCTGTTGTGTCAGTCATGTGTCTGTTGTGTCAGTCATGTGTCTGTTGTGTCAGTCATGTGTCTGTTGTGTCAGTCATGTGTCTGTTGTGTCAGTCATGTGTCTGTTGTGTCAGTCATGTGTCTGTTGTGTCAGTCATGTGTCTGTTGTGTCAGTCATGTGTCTGTTGTGTCAGTCATGTGTCTGTTGTGTCAGTCATGTGTCTGTTGTGTCAGTCATGTGTCTGTTGTGTCAGTCATGTGTCTGTTGTGTCAGTCATGTGTCTGTTGTGTCAGTCATGTGTCTGTTGTGTCAGTCATGTGTCTGTTGTGTCAGTCATGTGTCTGTTGTGTCAGTCATGTGTCTGTTGTGTCAGTCATGTGTCTGTTGTGTCAGTCATGTGTCTGTTGTGTCAGTCATGTGTCTGTTGTGTCAGTCATGTGTCTGTTGTGTCAGTCATGTGTCTGTTGTGTCAGTCATGTGTCTGTTGTGTCAGTCATGTGTCTGTTGTGTCAGTCATGTGTCTGTTGTGTCAGTCATGTGTCTGTTGTGTCAGTCATGTGTCTGTTGTGTCAGTCATGTGTCTGTTGTGTCAGTCATGTGTCTGTTGTGTCAGTCATGTGTCTGTTGTGTCAGTCATGTGTCTGTTGTGTCAGTCATGTGTCTGTTGTGTCAGTCATGTGTCTGTTGTGTCAGTCATGTGTCTGTTGTGTCAGTCATGTGTCTGTTGTGTCAGTCATGTGTCTGTTGTGTCAGTCATGTGTCTGTTGTGTCAGTCATGTGTCTGTTGTGTCAGTCATGTGTCTGTTGTGTCAGTCATGTGTCTGTTGTGTCAGTCATGTGTCTGTTGTGTCAGTCATGTGTCTGTTGTGTCAGTCATGTGTCTGTTGTGTCAGTCATGTGTCTGTTGTGTCAGTCATGTGTCTGTTGTGTCAGTCATGTGTCTGTTGTGTCAGTCATGTGTCTGTTGTGTCAGTCATGTGTCTGTTGTGTCAGTCATGTGTCTGTTGTGTCAGTCATGTGTCTGTTGTGTCAGTCATGTGTCTGTTGTGTCAGTCATGTGTCTGTTGTGTCAGTCATGTGTCTGTTGTGTCAGTCATGTGTCTGTTGTGTCAGTCATGTGTCTGTTGTGTCAGTCATGTGTCTGTTGTGTCAGTCATGTGTCTGTTGTGTCAGTCATGTGTCTGTTGTGTCAGTCATGTGTCTGTTGTGTCAGTCATGTGTCTGTTGTGTCAGTCATGTGTCTGTTGTGTCAGTCATGTGTCTGTTGTGTCAGTCATGTGTCTGTTGTGTCAGTCATGTGTCTGTTGTGTCAGTCATGTGTCTGTTGTGTCAGTCATGTGTCTGTTGTGTCAGTCATGTGTCTGTTGTGTCAGTCATGTGTCTGTTGTGTCAGTCATGTGTCTGTTGTGTCAGTCATGTGTCTGTTGTGTCAGTCATGTGTCTGTTGTGTCAGTCATGTGTCTGTTGTGTCAGTCATGTGTCTGTTGTGTCAGTCATGTGTCTGTTGTGTCAGTCATGTGTCTGTTGTGTCAGTCATGTGTCTGTTGTGTCAGTCATGTGTCTGTTGTGTCAGTCATGTGTCTGTTGTGTCAGTCATGTGTCTGTTGTGTCAGTCATGTGTCTGTTGTGTCAGTCATGTGTCTGTTGTGTCAGTCATGTGTCTGTTGTGTCAGTCATGTGTCTGTTGTGTCAGTCATGTGTCTGTTGTGTCAGTCATGTGTCTGTTGTGTCAGTCATGTGTCTGTTGTGTCAGTCATGTGTCTGTTGTGTCAGTCATGTGTCTGTTGTGTCAGTCATGTGTCTGTTGTGTCAGTCATGTGTCTGTTGTGTCAGTCATGTGTCTGTTGTGTCAGTCATGTGTCTGTTGTGTCAGTCATGTGTCTGTTGTGTCAGTCATGTGTCTGTTGTGTCAGTCATGTGTCTGTTGTGTCAGTCATGTGTCTGTTGTGTCAGTCATGTGTCTGTTGTGTCAGTCATGTGTCTGTTGTGTCAGTCATGTGTCTGTTGTGTCAGTCATGTGTCTGTTGTGTCAGTCATGTGTCTGTTGTGTCAGTCATGTGTCTGTTGTGTCAGTCATGTGTCTGTTGTGTCAGTCATGTGTCTGTTGTGTCAGTCATGTGTCTGTTGTGTCAGTCATGTGTCTGTTGTGTCAGTCATGTGTCTGTTGTGTCAGTCATGTGTCTGTTGTGTCAGTCATGTGTCTGTTGTGTCAGTCATGTGTCTGTTGTGTCAGTCATGTGTCTGTTGTGTCAGTCATGTGTCTGTTGCAGGAGGTTAGTGAGGAACGTTGTGTGGAGATAATGAAGCAGTTGTCTGTGAGCTGCTTCATCTCTTCATCACGACTGTTTGAATTAAAGTTCATTAAACTCTGTTTTTAGTTCCTCTGTTGATCTGATTAAAACAAGAACAATAACTTTCTTTATTCATCACAAATATTTTCCTCTTTAATCTCGTCAGAGAGTGAAATCTGAGAGGAGGAGTCTTTCACTAACAATCATCTTCATCTTCTTCATCATCATCAGTAACAGAGTCTGTAGTTTGATGTGAGATATGTTTCCTTCATCTGCACCTTCCCTGAAACATCTGAGCTGATCAATCTGATCTACAAATGAAGACTAATCACAACCCGGACCATTAACGAACTGATCAACCAAGTCTCAAACGTTTTGACACTTTGCAATAATCAATAAACTAAAAACATGGAGCCGACAGTAGAAACACGTCTGATCTGTGAACAGTGAACAAATAAACCACAGCTGCTGCTGATGACTGAGCTCTGCCCCCAGACCTCCTCCAGACAGAGTGAGCAGGTGTGACAGAGTGAGCAGGTGTGACAGAGTGAGCAGGTGTGACAGAGTGAGACAGAGTGAGGAGGTGTGACAGAGTGAGCAGGTGTGACAGAGTGAGCAGGTGAGACAGAGTGTGACAGAGTGAGCAGGTGTGACAGAGTGAGCAGGTGTGACAGAGTGTGACAGAGTGAGCAGGTGTGACAGAGTGAGCAGGTGTGACAGAGTGTGACAGAGTGAGCAGGTGTGACAGAGTGAGCAGGTGTGACAGAGTGAGGAGGTGTGACAGAGTGTGACAGAGTGAGCAGGTGTGACAGAGTGAGCAGGTGTGACAGAGTGTGACAGAGTGAGCAGGTGTGACAGAGTGAGGAGGTGTGACAGAGTGTGACAGAGTGAGCAGGTGTGACAGAGTGAGCAGGTGTGACAGAGTGTGACAGAGTGAGCAGGTGTGACAGAGTGAGCAGGTGTGACAGAGTGTGACAGAGTGAGCAGGTGTGACAGAGTGAGCAGGTGTGACAGAGTGTGACAGAGTGAGCAGGTGTGACAGAGTGTGACAGAGTGAGCAGGTGTGACAGAGTGTGACAGAGTGAGCAGGTGTGACAGAGTGTGACAGAGTGAGCAGGTGTGACAGAATGTGACAGAGTGAGCAGGTGTGACAGAATGTGACAGAGTGAGCAGGTGTGACAGAATAAACAGGTGTTCTTACGCCACGTCTTCGTAGAAGCTCTCCAGCTCGTCCCTCTGCTCGGCCAGAGACGAGTCCAGGTCCAGGTAGTTTCCATTAGGAGACAACTGAAGGGTGCACTCCTCCAACTGAGAGACAGACAGGTGAGACAGGTGAGACAGGTGAGAGAGAGAGATGTATGAATATGAATGAACTCACATGTACAGTCTAATAATAAACCTCTTCATGAGGAACAGCTGAAGGTGTTACAGGACTTCTGAGGACCTACTAAATAAAGATTTAATGATGAATGGATGACGTTAACCCCCCAGCACTAAAACAATATAACTCTGCATGAGCTCAGATCAGCAGATCTATCATCTCTACATCAAACTGTTTATAAAATCATTAAACTAACGAATGAAACAGGTGATAAACAACATTAAGATACACTTTACAAGTGTTGACTGAAGTCAGTGTGTGTTCACAGTGATCATGACACATAAACACAACCAGCACTCACAGAACCTGTTCTACACACCTTAGTCTTCACAGTCACACAGATGAATATCCACACACTGCAGGCGCTGACGCTCACACAGTTTCAACAAGGTCCATTTTAGACTTTTTAAGACTTTTTAAAACCTTCATGAGTGAAATTTAAAACTGGTTTCACGTCCAAACTGGTAAAAAAGTAGAAAGGATATAAAAGAAAATCTTAGTCCGAGAATTACCTGCAAACTAAAGGAATGAATTTATTCACATTCACAAAATAACGCCACAACAACTCAACTATCTGATGCCCATCAACTACTGTGAGCGAGAGAGGAAATACAACATATGAAACGCAACTACAGCGAACCCAAACCAAACATCAAGAAGCGCGACAGAAGTAGCGTTAAATAAACGTAACGTAACATTTAAGACCTGAACATAAAACCTTTACGTTTTTGAGACTTTTCAAGGAATAAAATTCCGATTTTTAAATGTGAGACTTTTTTAGACTTTTTAAGACTCTGAGGAAACCCTGAGCTGAAGAGACACAACTGAGTCTGTTCACATGGAGTCAGTCTGCCTCATTACCAGCAGCTGAATCAGCTGTGATCAGCTGTGATCACTTCCTGTCTGCAGTGTATCATCATGTTTTACTGTGAAACTGAAGAAACTTAGAAACAGGATGATTCTCTACCAAGTTCTGCAGACTCTATTTCTCTGGAGCTTTATTCTGGAGGGACAGCAGAGATGATGACATCATCAGGAAGTGATGTCACACTGAAGCAGATCAACATGTAAAAACTAGTATCTGTTTTGCATCACTGATGAAACATGTTGATGTGTCACTTTCTCATTTGTCTATTTCATCATGAGGCTGGTAAGTGTATATTTATGTTTTCCTTTTCTTTACTTCACTATCAGTTTATTCTATTAATTCTATTAATAATTCTATTGTATTTTATTTATTTGATAATTTATATGATTGTGTTTTCGGCGGAACATTGAAAATGTCAATAAAACCTGATGAATTGTTATAAAATGACACGTGAAGTCCACTGCTGCTCATCACTGTGGTTTCTAATGAGCTCTAATGAGGCAGAGGAAGGTCGTTACTCTGATGCTGTGTGTTAATTACAGGCTGCGTATGAACTAGTAACTGGTGGATGTTGATCCAGCAGGAACAGACTCAGTTAATGACCTCAGTCATATTAATGTTGTATACTGTATATTTCTTCTCCTGTTCTGAGCTCAGCTCAGAGCGTCTGTCCCTCAGAGTGTCTGTCCCTCAGAGCGTCTGTCCCTCAGAGCGTCTGTCCCTCAGAGCGTCTGTCCCTCAGAGCGTCTGTCCCTCAGAGCGTCTGTCCCTCAGTGTCTGTGTCTGTCCCTCAGAGTGTCTGTCCCTCAGAGCGTCTGTCCCTCAGTGTCTGTGTCTGTCCCTCAGAGTGTCTGTCAGTCTCTGCTGGTTTATTTCTGAACATGAGTCCATGTGTCCACATTATTTCACCAGTGCAGCATGTTGTGGGATCTGTGCAGCAGAGCGGACAGTGAGATAAACTGTGAGTCTATTTATATCTGAGGCAGCAGCTGTAGCTGAGGACTGTGACTCATGTTCAGGTATGAAGCTGCAAACCAGAAGGAAAACAATCCGGTCTGACGGTGACGGGCCGCCGCTCTGAACCTGCACGGTCACATTCTTTTGACAGAGAGAGAGTGTGTGTGTGTGTGTGTGTGTGTTTATGTGAAGCCTGAGGTGGCACAGGACCAACACATGACATCACCTCCATGTTTTGAACGAACGAGCCACGGTTGTTCTTGACCTTGAGTTTTTATTGGCTGATGTCAGAGTCAGAGCGACGTCATCAAACTGATTTAATCTTTTAAAGGATGAATTCACCTCCTTCGTCATGTCATACTCATTCTATGTATTTATATTCTTTATATTTAGACTTTTCTATAATATTTCTTCACATTTTTATGGAAAATATTTTATTTAAATGTTTCTCTGTATATTTCATCTCTCTGCTGCAGAACTCACTAGTTTCATCTTTGTTTATATTTCTTTTCTACTTTGTTTATTGTTATGAACCAAAACAAATTCCTCTTACTTTTAAAACCTTCTTGGCAATAAACAGACAGTAACCTGCAGTTATTAATGATTATCATGGGGGTCCTGTCTGCGGACTGAAGGTGGAACAGTTTAAAACCCTTCTTAAAACATCAGGAAATAGTGTAGTTTAATCTATAATTATGTCTCATATTTTATATGTTGGTCAAATGTTTTGTCATCATTTGTGAACTTTAGCAAAGAGATAAATGTGGAACCTCCCTCTGAAACAGTACGAGTAAAGTAAAAGTACCTCAAAACTATAGAAGAGTGAGTAAAAGTACTCTGATGATTCATGTTCAGCTGTTTCTGTGAAGCTGGATGTGACATGAGAGCGTGTCTTTACTTCTGATGAACTGGAACCAGTTTCCTGGAGCTACGACGTCACTGAGGATCAAACACAGGAGCGTCATTGTTTCTGCTCATACAGACCGGTCACGGTCTGTCCCCATGACAACAGCTGAGCACAGGGATCCAGACAGTCCACGACATGGAGGACAACAGCTCCTGTCCAACAGGCTAACAGTTTCCCTCCGCTTCCAGTCTCTGTGCTAAGCTAGGCTAAAAACATCTCTGGACTGGACACACACACATGAAACCAACATCCATCTGAATATTCATCATTACTGTTTAAAGCCTGAAACAGCCTGACGGTCAGACTGTTCCTGCAGCAACAGTCTGTTCACTTCTTATCAACACGCTGCTGTTAGTATTGCATCCGTCCATCCATCCATCAGCTTATCTCCTGTTTACAGGTCCCACCCTTTTCCTCCACAATCACTCTGCTCGGCCCAAACCCTCAGTGAGGGAGGAGGAGGAGGAGGAGGAGGAGGAGGAGGAGGAGGAGGGAAACTAGAGCAGAGAACCAGGAACTGTGCAGAAGTCTGAGGACTCACGTCTCAAGACTGATCATATCACATCCCTGCATCAAACAGGGGGGGCGTGGCCTGCGGGTCGAGCCCCAGGGCATGATGGGAACAATTAGGGGGTCAGTGGAGGAATGTAATCTAGTGGGACCGCTGCTCTCTGGTCTTTATCTGATCCTGCAGATTCCAACAGGCTCCGAACGCCTCGCGGCCGGCTGGAGTCTCCTGTGTGTGGCTCAGCTGTGGAGGGAAATCTCTGCTTTGATCTGAAGCATCTGTTCAAACACATCTGGATAAAACTCTGAATAAAGTCGTGTTGCCGCGGGGATAACGAGGCCATGACAGGCCGTGAGCGTGTTCCAACACAGACCGCTGAGTAACGACCTGCTCATCCTTCCTTTAATGAAGACGCTGCTGTGACTGTGTGTGTGTGTGTGTGTGCGTGCGTGCGTGTGTGTGTGTGTGAGAGAGTGTGTGAGTGTGTGTGTCTTTATCTCGGTCCTGAACTTCAGCCTCACAGATAACTGAGGAATGAAGCTAAAACGAAGAATGACTGACTCATGTGTCACTGTGGTGTGACTGTGCTGAGTTAGCCTGCAGAGCACGGAGCTGCGTTCACTTCCTGTTTGGGAAACTCAACGCCATGCATGGATACAGCACAAACAGAAGCATCATGGCTGAGTCAACCACAGGAAACTTCATTCTGTGTTTCCACTCTGACTTATTCTGTCCAACATCTTCACTCTCTCACTCCGATCAGCAGCAACTTTAATTACTGTAATAATAATAACTGTACATTAGGTACAGATCTCAGGTCTGCTTGAGTATTTCCATTGATTCTCCCTCACAGCTGTAAACACAGTGAAGGTTTCACTGCACCACACGATCAGTTAATAACATCTGATCAGTTCTTAAACTAAACCAGCTGCTGACTTCAAATATATTTCTGCTCAGCAATAAGTCTCAGTGTGTCTGTCTCAGTCCTCAGACCAGCACCGGACACACAGAGCTTTTCACCTGGGAAAAACCCACCAATCAGAGGACAGATGACGGTGAACAGAAACAAACACCAGACTCAGCTCGTCCACACGAGAAACGTTTCCTTATGAACAGAGAACCAGAACCTGCAGGCTGAGTCTGAGCACAGGGATGAAGCTACACAACACTCCACCTGCTGCTCACACACACTCATCCATCAGTAATGATAACATGTGTAATAATACACCAATGAGAGGGGCTACTCTGCTGCACAGCTGTCAGGACCTGTCCTGACCTGGAGTTCAGGAAGTCAAACATCTGGATCCCTCCTCCACCTCTGGCTCTACAGTCCAGATCTGAGTGTGAGGTCAGACCTTAAAGACAGGACCCAGAACTTCAGTTTGGTGGATCCATCACATGAAAATGAGAATAACTGTCTGACTGGTTCAGGGTTGACCCAACTGTCTGAGCACAGTTTTGTCCAGTTGCAGTATTTTTCCTGACGCATGTGTTAGCGGCTTTGGGCTAAATGCTAACATCAGAATGTTCAGCATGTTTACCATCAGCTGAGTTTAGCATGTTAGCATGCTAACATCTACCATTTATTTTAAGTGTGGATGTCATCTGATGGTTCCAGGTCTCAGGTTTTAGTAGATTTAATATTTGCAGGTTCTGGATAAAACACTTTGTGATGAGTATTTTCAATCATTAGCTACAAACCAAAGTTACACCATCAGCAGATTAATGAACTTTAACATCCACAGAGTCATGCTGCTCAACAGCATGTCAGTGAACGCAGCACTGACCTGAGGGTTGGTTCAGTGAGGACATTTAAAACATTTAAATAGAGTGAACCACTGTGGTACAGGAGGATCACACACCAGCAGCTGATCCAGAACTCTGCTGCCTCCGTCCAGGACCGTCCACACCTCTCAGGTGGTCAGGGACAGGTCCGCCCACTGTCCCCAGAGTCCACACTAATGATGGACAGGCCTTCAGACCTGCTCCAACTCAGACTGAAAACTTTTCTATTTGCCACATTTCAGTTAAAGTTGGTATCTTTCACTGTGATCAAACACTATGTTTAAATCTTCTGCTTCACTTCATGTTTAGCTCTTCTCTTCAGACCCTGATCAGCTGTTTGTGTCTTAATGTCTTTGTCTTTTGAATTGTCTTGTTATAGAAAAAAGACTTTGAATAAGCTGATTCCAAACTCCATTTAAAAAATTAGCAATTTAATATGAAAATAATGTAAATCGAGTGTTCAGGTAAATCCGGCACCAAGCAGCTTGAACACCTGTATCGATTACAGCATCGATTACTCTGTTAAACATGACTTTAACTGAATGTACTGGATGTTTCTCATGTTCATGTGTGACAGTTAACTTCTTCAGCACTTCTAGCCTCTCTCTACCTGACCAGGTAAACAGCGATTCATTAAATCCCCTGAATTTCAAACGCAGTTTGGTGTTTTACCTTCAGCTTGAAGGAAAGTTTCAACAACAACTTTTAACCATTTGTAACTTTCGCGGTTATTTTTTGGTCAGTAACAGTTAGTCGGTCAGTAAATACAGACTCTTTACTGTAGTTTAAAGTTATTTAAAGTCTTGTTTTCTATCATTTTCCCCGCGAGTCGTCCTCCAGCTCGAGAGTGTTGTGTCTCAGCTCAGCGGTAGTTTAACAGTCTGGAGGTCCAACCGGCTCAAAGTTAAAACATTAACCGACATGGCTGCTCATCGTCCCGCAGGTGTTCCCACCGGTGACCCACCTTCAGCGGCGCCTCCAGCAGCTTGTGTATCCCGGCGATCTGCTCACTGAGCGGCAGGTTCTCCTCCACGTTCAGCGTCGGAGGTCTCCGAGGTTCGGGGAAGTTTGTGCAGATAAACGGATCCGAGTCCTCCAGGTACTGGAGCCGGCAGGTGATGGAGGCCATGGCCGTGTGACCGCAAAGCAACTGCGGCTAAAAGTGTGTGGGTGTCTCGGTGTAGGTCC